TGCAACAAAGAGGAGTCGATGCTGCCAAGGCCATAGTGCTAGGGCTCCTGGAAGGCTTGGACATTCAAACAGGAAGGCCGGTACTCATCGTGGACTGCATTGCCAACAGGTTCCTTGCCTTGTCCTGCATGTTTGCAGTTGGCCCTACATCAGATTATCGCACAATCTCTCAGGTTCAACGAGTGGGGCCTAGCAGCCTGGCAATTGCAAAGGGCTTGCCTGACAACACCTGGTGCACCTGGACCCAAGTACTACTACATGGGGTTGTTCACAGAAGAAAACACCCCGATGGCTGATGCGTCAAAGCGCCACATGATGAGCAAAGTCATGCAGGACATTGACATGTTGTTTCGTGCTTCATGATGAATCATGTCGATTTGTATCCAGTCACCTGGCTCACACGGTCTCTTGTCAGGAGTGGTGGGATGACTCCAGTGAAGCCGGCCCGCGAGTACGGCCAGGCGCAAGCTTTGAAGAGCGCCTGCCGGAGCTCTCTGTGCTTTGCGTGAACAATTCAGCGGTCACGCTGCTTGACTGTGTGAAGGCGTCATGCTGTGCATAACCACCATCATCAGTTGCTCATTCAATTTATTTTCTCAGGATTCCCGACGCCGTGCTTCAGGGCTACAGCAACACTGAAGGCGTCTCAGCTGCTCTGCAAGATGCAGTGGAGCGCGTTAAGACGCAAACTGAGCAGGCTCAGGGCGTGTGCGCAGCGCTGCAAGCCGGAGCAGCCAGGCCAACTTCTTTCCCTGCAGCCACAACAACAGCAGCCAACGCAACAGGGCGACCTGCGCTGCCCCCACGCACGCAATCCACTCCCGAGTGGGGCAGTGAGCAAGTCTGTGATGTCCGAAAAAAGATCCAGCTGAACTGCCTGCCCCTGGATCAGTTCGATGCCAATCACACGCGGCCAGCCTTTGAACATAGAAATATGTTGCATTCCCCCGTGCAAATTGTAGGTGATACTGTATCTATGGTTGGAGTTGTTTTGAATTTGTGAGGCCAACTGCATGGGCGCCATCCGCAACGTGCGCAAATGTCCAGGTGTACGTGACTTCCGATGACAAGATCTGGTTGGTCAACCGAACCACGGAGGAACAAAGCTTGGAGCCGGGGGAACTCTTTGGGTTTAATCTGGGCAGTTTTGAGGACATTCCGGCAGGCAGGGTGCATGTATTCGGGGGGGGGGAGTGAGAATCGCTTTCAAGGCCACCCCAACCTGTCATGTCCTGTGCGCTGACCTGCAGGTGTGGCCCGCTCCAAGCCAGCTGACAGCATACCTTGGCTGATGGATGCTGACAAATCACTGGTTGTATTTGTCAAGCCTGATGGGAAGAAATCTGCAATGCCACTGGCGGATGTCATGTGCAGTGTGGTACGGGAAAGGGGCGTTACTGAGTTTAACATTGTTGACCACACTGCCGCCCCCTTGCTCAAGGACCTCATCATGTTTCAAATGTTGTTGAGTGCGAAACAGTTGCTTTAAAACCATGCACCTAACAACTTGACATTGACAACGTTTAATTCATGAAATTTGCATGTCAGCTCCTTGGCAGGATGATGGAAATGGATCACAGGTAGCCATGAACTTCCGCTACAGCATCACTCCCCGGAGCGTTGTCAATGCCTACACCCCAAAGCCGTTGCCGGAGAACACAAGCATGCAAGACATGAGGGCATCACAGCTGGGGGTTTGCTTCATTGGGAAAATGCAACAGTTGCCCAAGTCCGACAAAGTCAGCGTGCTGTTCGAGGCTCGCTTTTTCCCCTAGCGTTAGGGCTTCCACAGTTCAGCCTCTTGCAAAATCAGCCTTGCTTTAACACACTCTGACCCTGCAGGTGCGAGTTGAGGAGAGCGTGCCGGCCAAGCTCAAGCCGATAAAACCGAAGTTCCATTTGCTCGGACATCTCACCTTGAAAGGTGAGTGGCAATCAAGTTTTGAGCTTAGCATACCAATTGCTGAAAGACTAGAACGTTGGCAGCAGACCAGCACGCTTTCAAAAGGAGCTACACATTACTTAATGTTCAGAACATGTGTGATGCGCTTGCTTGATTCAAATTTGCTTGAACTTGATCATGGTCATGCTTGTTTGGTAGCTGCTCAGTTTGACTGTTGGCCGCCAATTTGCTTGACTTTGAGTTGAACATGATTTGCGTATTTTCAGTTTTGATGGCACAAGCTGGCTCTGACCTGGCCGCCTTGGAGTCATGCCTCTTCCAAGTGTGGATGACCTGTCTGACGATGAGCCTCAGCCCAAGGTGGTGGATTCTCCAAAGGAGACTCCAGCGATGACACCCATGAAGCGACCAGCAAGCCGACCAAAGGCTGCCAGCAAAAAAGCTGCAAGCAAAAAAGCTGCCAGCCCGAAAACTGCCAGCAAAAAAGCTGCCAGCAAAAAAGCTGCCAGCAAAAAAGCTGCCAGCAAAAAGGCCGCAGCCAAAAAGGCTGCCAGCCCGAAAGCTGCTGGTTCGAAGGCCAACGACCCCGAGGTTGCCACTCCCCCTCCCACTGAGAGTGCGGACAAGGTGCTTAAGCGCCCCGCTGCCAATGCCATGAAGCGCCCGGCATGCGCGGAGCCGCAAGAAGGGCCAGAACCGGCAAAGAAGGTGTACAAGTACATGTACAAGGGATCTGGTGTGTGGGCTTTCAAGGTTGACATGGTGGAGAAGTTGAGGGATGCTTGCATGAACTTTCTAGCAAACGTTGCACTTTGTAAAAAAGGGCTGACCCCTGCTTGCATGTGGACTTGACCAAGTTTGGGTTGAGTAGCAATCAAGGACACGAGTTTGGCTTGAGTAGCAAACAAGAACATGCATGGGTTGCTCTTTGCTGCTTGTCAACGTTTGGGTTGGGCGCCAAGCAAAACATGGAGGGTGTTTGCATGTGTGTTGCTCAAACGTTTGCTGGGTCTCATGTCTAGCTTGCGGTGAGAGGCAAACAAGAACATGCATGGGTTTATCATTGTCATGTGAGTTTCCTCAAAAGTTTGCTGTTCAGCAGCAAGCAAGAACATGTGTGTTTGCTCAATATGTGTTGGGTGTAGTGTCTAGTTTGGGTTAAGTTGCAACAATTTGAGTTCACAAACTTGTTGCTGGCTCATGTTTGCTTCCAACCGAGATCAAGCCACAAGATGGAGTGCATGCAGATGTGCTGGCCGACATAGCAGCTTCTTGGCTGCAAATGGGGGGTGTCTTTTTGGGGCGCCCTAAATATCCTTTTTGGGGGGACCCGAATAGGGGTGTCATTTTCTTGGGACCCAAATGTCTTTTTTTGGGGGACGTGAGTCGGGGTGGGGGCCCAAATGCGGGGTGTCGTTTTGGGGACCTCCCAAAATGGTTCTCCCTTTGGGTTGCCCTTCCAAACCACTAAGAAAGGGGGTCCCAAATGCGAACCGGTACCCAAAGCACATGCCGATATGTTACTTGCCAACTGAGACCGCTATTCATGATGAACTTCTTCGAACCAATGGTGACATCCATGCAGGAACCGCGCTGATGGCCTGCTTCTCAACATGCGCCATCTGGGATGTGCTTCAAAGCATTTAAGGGGCCCTTTATGCTAACCAAGGAGTGCATGCTGGAAGAGGCCAAAAACAAGTCACAGGGCGCTGCTGACACTGAGCATGAGATAGATGCTACTGATATGATCCCGGACGCTGAAGACATGGAACCCGAAGATATGGAGGAAGAGCCTCCTGAGTTTGATGACCCGATGGATGAGTGAATCAATGATGAAAGAAAAAAGAGAAGCTTCGGCGCTGCTTTGGTGGGATCAGCTTGTCATGCAGGCATTTGAATTGTTCTGAGGACCCCTTGCAGTCAAATGTTGATGGACTCTCCAAACTGTTTGCTGGTTATTATGTGGTTTAAGTACCGCTTCAATGTGGCCCACAGCAGGCCCACGCCGCGCATGAAACAAAATGCGTTGCACACACACACACACATGAGCACACACACACGTTACACACACATGAGCACACACACACACACCACACAGATGCACGCAACACACTTGCGGCGTTTGAGCGTAACAGTAGTTGGCACGCGCCGGGGATGCAAGTTGCTGACGCAGCTTTTGGTGATGCAATGCGCTGGTGATGCAGGGGTGGTGCTAAAGAGGCTGGTGATGCTGGCTGGTGATGCAGGGTAGGCCCACACATTGGATCCCTCAACCCCTGAAATAAAAAGCCCTTGATACAACACTAAGCCCTGAATAACAAGCATCAAGATTCAGAGTAAAAGAGGCTTTGACCTCGCCCAGCTTTCGTGCTTGATGACGCGCGTGCCGTTTCGGGCCGCGCGTTCGTGTCGGCGCGTGCCGCGTCGGGCCGCGCGCTCGCGCGGACTGCTGCACCGCTGAAGCAGACGAAGAGAAAAGCCTAGCTTTTGCGCTTGACACGCGTGCCGTTTCGGGCCGCGTGCTCCAGCCCAGACTACAGCACGGCTTGGGCAGACACAAAGAAAAGGCGCTCTCGGGGGGGAGGGAGGAGAGTTGAACTTGAAGCGCTCGTTGGGAGCTTTGGAAAGGGAAAGAGAAGAAAGAGAGAGAGAGAGAGAGAGAGAGAGAGAAAGAGAGAGAGAGAGAGAGAGAGAAAGAGACAGAGAAACAGAAAGAGAAAGAGAAAGAGAAAGAGAAAAAGAGAAAGAGAGAAAGAGAGAAAGAGAGAAAAAGAGAGAGAGAGAGAGAAGCAAGGGGCCAAGGACAGTTCTCCAAACTATAGTTGTTCACTGCTTTGAAACTTCCGCCCCCCGGCTCTGCCGGACCTTACTTGTAATGTCACAATGTAGCAGAATGTTCTCTCAAAAGCTGCTGCAGGAAGCCTTTGCGTAATGTGTGCCGAGGGAGGACATGACAAGGACAAATCATCCAGCTTCAGGTTTGGACACGTGAGAACCTGACCCCTAACATCAGACCTTGAAGGAGCACCTCTTACGCAATAGATGCTCCAAAATGGCACCGACCCTTTGGTCTGTGTCCTCTTCTCAAGGCCCTGGCCCACTTGCCGTCTGAGCGCCTGCCGAACAGCCGAAGTGAGCGCAAACGAAAATGTGTAAAAAAAACCAGCAAGCCGATTTAGATCCCGATCTGAGACATTATTTCCGTGTATGTGTCACACAGGGCACATCCCAAAAGAAAGGTTGGCCAACTGTCAAGACATCCAACACAGCTTTTGCTTTTTGAGCCACACTTCGGCCTATTTGGCCATGGGTCAAAATCCCATACCCTCAGTGAACATCCCAATCCCCATTAAAATAGACTAAGAATGGGTTCACCTACCCCAAAATGGTACCATTGGTTTTTGACCCAGCCATTTGGAACCTACCATTGTGCCAGAGGATCAAGGTCCAATCATAGCCCCTACAACCGCAAGAGCGTGCTGGCATTGTTCTAATATGATTGACACGGGGAAAACATTGAGAGTTGGCAACCTCCCATTTTGCACCCAACATACAAGGCACCCCGAAATTCATTAAGAAAAAAACTTACACCAGCATAGACCCCAGATAGCGAAAAACATCTGCACCAGCACCCCACACTGCATGGCCCGACCGTCAATCTCGCAAACACGCGCCTGTGCCGTCACCAGCATCCAATAACACCCCGAACAGCACCCCAAACAGCCCGGCCACCAATCCCGCAAAAATGGCCCGCAGCGTCACCAGCAAACGGCACCCCAAAGCACACCTGCACCAGCACCCTAAGCCGCATGCCTCCGGCACCCTGGCCGTCAATCTCGCATAAATGCGCCCGCACTGTCACTAGCACACCAGCACACCAAACTGCTTCCCCCCGCGCACCCGGGGGTCAATCTAGCAGAAACTCGCCGCCGCAGCCACCACCTCAAAACAGCACCCAAAGCAGCACCTGCTCCAGCACCCCAAACTGCATGCCACGTAGCACCCTGCCGTCAATCTCGCAAACATGCCCCCGCACCGCCGCCAGCACCCCAAAACAACACAAACAACCCAAATTGCATGCCCCGTAGCACCCAGCCATCAATCTCGCAAATCACTTTCCCCTCTTCATTAGAAGCTAGAACCCCTATATCTTTCAGCATCTTTCAGCTATCTGTGGAAGAACAAAAAGCCGGCCGCGCGCTTGCGAACATGCAACACTCTTTCAAATTGCTTGTGCTTTCCATTGAAGCGTCAGCAGGAAAAGGGGGTCCCTGAAATATGCACACCTAACCTCCACAGCTCCCCCGTCGCTCTTGGGTCCCCGTCTTTAGCTCGGAGCCAGATCTCCACAGCTCTCCCTCAATATCAGAGTGGCAGTCGCAGACTCAGTCCCTACCAGTGGTGTGGTGTCCAGAATCGAGGTCAAGAACCAAGGTCAACCACTCACACATCATACATGTACATATACTTATATACACGTATGAGCGCTGATGACTCAGTGCTTTGGTTGTCTTCTGGGCAGGATCCAGCCCACGCGTTTCAAACAAATGCTCGGGCAACATCACGACTCTGAAGTCATAGAGATTCGGGTGCACTCCCTTAGTGAGCTCGCAGACCCCCAGTGAGCTCGTTTTAAAATATGCAGAAACATGGCACATGTCCGGGCACATGCGGGCACTATTTTGGCTGGGTGAAACTAAGCCGTATTGCTGAAAGGCACAAGTCGAACATTCCGATTTTGGCCCTCCAAAGACCAGGTGTTGGGATAAAAGGGATGGATATCAAAAAGGACCCCCGCCCCCCGGCCCATTTTAAGGGTTCCCCTCGGCGACCCATCTGCTTGGCATCCTGATCGCTGGGCGCCCACACCTGGCTGAGCCTCGAATCGGCATGATGATTGAAACTGCTTGGGTGCGGCTTCCTGTTCCAAATGCCCAAGCCACGGCATTCTGGGGTTCCCTTTGTCAGCCGGCACGCGTGGCTGGGGAGCGGAGTAACCGCTCTAGGGGAGGTGGAAAAGGAAGCTGCAGCCATTCAAACGGCGGACTGGCTCACTCAAAAGCAAACAACAGTTCAAGAGAGCAACCGACAACACCACAAGCATGTTGGTCGCTTTTAGGGTAGTCCCCAACACCTTTCTTGTGGTGATGTGGCCCGCAGTTTATGTCCTGATGTGCACTGCCTAAACGTATTTGAGCTTCCCTGACCAACGGAAACAGAACAAACCCAAGACTCGTCCACCAGTCTCAGAAACCGCCGACGCTTGCACTGGACACGTATGGGTGTACGCCACGCCAACACCGGAAACCATGAGTCAAATAGAGGAAACAACCACCTCGCCTGCGTGATTTCCAGTGCTCTTGCAGCAGTTGCAGTTTTCCCCTGCGTTGAGAATAGATCTTGCGCTTGCTCGGAAAAAGTGCCACTTGCCGGAACTTTAGCACACCAGCATTCTTCCATTTGGTTAAGACCAATGGAAAAAATAAAGATTCCAGTAGTGAACAAATCCTTTTAAAACCAACACGGGAAAATAACAAATAGTCTTAAGCAAATGGCAGCATTTCACCGCGTGGCACGGTGGGTGCCCTTTCATTTTGACATAACTGGCCGCTCTCCAAGTCGTGGGCGTGGTAAACTCATGGCATGTTGACCCGTGGCTTCCGAGCCGGCCGGTGTCAAATGCCTTCAGTGAGTGACCCTCTTCGTTTTGTTTCGTTTTTTTTTTTTGTTTACCTCAATGAAACATGGGTAGTCCAATGACAAACATTGCCACAATATATTCGACTTGTTCCATGGTGACTGGCTATCTGCTTGACACAAACAAATTTATGCAAGCCGTTGAAACCCGCTCCCTGTCCATGGCACCTGCCACTAGCAACACAACCAAGGATATTGGACACCCCTTTCAAACACCCAGGATGGCGACGTAAAACTCGAAAAGAATCAACCTGACCAGAAGTGCTACGAATCTAGACAGAATCTCGATGAGGGGCTTGCAAACATGCCACCGGAATGACTCCAGAGCGAATAAACAACATTCACATGGCATCCGCATGAACTTGTCACGTGCCTAGGAATCCTGATTTGAATCTTGGCAACTGCCTAGGAACCATGTCAGGCAGTGTCAGGTACTTTGGTCCTCAAAAGCAGTGCCCATACGTGGCCCCGGCTTCCGTGAGCTTGCCACTGGTGCCTTCTCCTGCACCGGCCGACCGGACGACCGGTGTAGCTAGTGGAGCCGTTTGGGGCATTGCCCTGCCCAGAAAACACAGGGGCATGAATCCGCCAATCTGGCAACTGGATTCACCTTGCAGACTGCAGGTCATGTCACCGATTGCCGTTCCTGCCCGAAGCTGAAGCATCTTTCCGTTGTTAATACTTGCAGTGTTTGCACTTACTTGGTCATAGATTGAATTACGACGCAACCTCTGGCTGGGCGTTGTCTCAGCCATGCTCTGCATGTGGCGAAGGCTCTCCCCGCGCCTCAAGCGGAGATACCTTGAGCTTGGTCCACTCCAGGTGCTTCTTGCGGAATTGACTGGCGACCAAGGCCCAGGCGCCGAGGAATGAAACATTGTGTTCAAACCAAGTCAGTGGGTCAAGGCTTGCCGCATGAATCTGCAAAACCATCAACAACCGCAATCGTGAAAAGCTGCTGGACACAATGCATGATGACTCTGGTTTGATGCAAGATTTGAATGGAATCGAGCCCATCTGAATGCCAATTAACCGGTAAACCACATAAACCCCATTGAACCTTGTCCCAAATCCCGAGGCAGACCGGCATCAGCTTACATGTGGTCCCGGCAAATTTCTTCGCGCTCTGCAGTTGTTCTGAAGATGCAGCTTCGGCCTTCTGAATCGCATCACAATGCAAGAAACTCCTACTGTGAATGGACGAACTCCTGCACCACTTTGAAACCATGGGAAACCATGGTTTGTTAGTATTTACAGGGGAATCATCAGACATCAGGGTTTCTTAGGTGGTGCAGGATTTCGTCCATCCACAATATCATCATATTTTCAAGGGACAACCATGTACCCTCCGGTCCACTAACGTGACTAACGTGGAATCGAATCCACCAGGAGGTCCCTTGTAAAGGAAACGTCTCTTCCGGGCTCCCCTGTGACACTGTGGGGTTCCTTTGCATTTTTGTAGGATGAAAGGGAGTAACATGTGAAAAATCTGCCACTCGGAACCGACAGCAGCTATTTGGTTTCAGACGTGAGCCGTCTCCAAAAAAAGAAAATGGCAACAGGGAGCTGCCGGAGGCTTCGGTTTTCACATCGCTCAAGTTTCGGGGATCCGCTTCAGTGCCTGAAGATGAAGGCAGTCACCACGGTCACCAGGAAGATGCACAGCTCGATGCCGATGGACCTTGAAAATGAAGCGCTTGGCTTCATAACGTGAGAACAAAATGGGTGTATGCCAAAACAGGGGTACCAAACATTTTGTAGCTCTCCTTTTGGCTTCCCTTTAAACCAACCCCAAGGATTGGCAGCCTCAAACAAACAACACATACACACAAATCGCATTTGCCCTTTAGGGACCTGTTTATTAAAGACGATCGCTTTTTGGGAAAACATTGGAACCCGAAACGGGAACACTCGTTAGGTCAAAAGGTCGATTTGCTTTGGGCAACCGAGTCGATGCGGCACGATTCAGACAATTTGGGCTATGTCTTACACAGCAGTGATTGGGACGAGTTGCGTGTTGCATGAATTGTGCGTGGGTGAAGTGGAAAACGATAAGTGCCCGCTTCCATATTTTCATTATGAATGAGTGGATGCAGTTCGCCAGCAGGCCTCCGGAATCTCCCATCCCTCTGCACACATCCTGCAATCAAAAAGCGGACACCTCACACCAGTGCAGGCATAACCTGTCACAATCAGCATGCAGCGGGTTCGGCAAAGTGGTGACCGACCCCAAGGCGGCAGATGATCTGGGCTCCTTGCAAGGCCCGGGCGAAGAAACGTGGCCCATCCCCAGCTGGGGGAGCAAGGGACATGGGGCCCGGGGCCGCGGCCCGGGCCAACCCCCTTTTGGGGCTGTCCCTGTTTGGGGGGCCCAGAAAATTGTGTTTGTGGTTTTGGTTTCCCTTCAACACCATGCAGAAAGGGGGGACCCTCAAAAGAAGATATACCTTTTTGGCTTAAAAGGCTGCGAAAAGGTCTTTATAAAGCTATTGACTAAGGAGCTGCACATCGATTGAACCGCACTTGAGGGCCCAGCTGGAGCCCCAGCGAGGAGGCGGAATTGGCAAACATCCCTGGAGGACGCGGAATCAAATGAGACCAACATGCCTGGCCTGAAATGGCTTCTCCCTCTTATCTCTGAGCAAGCCAGGTCGGCAGCGTGTGTATTAAGCATGATTAAGCCATTTGTTTGCATGCCAACCATATGAGCTTGCAAAGTGGGTCAAACAGAGCTTCCCGATGGCTTGCGCATGTCGCAACAGACCGGCGGTCATGTCAGCAACTGGCACTAAGACATGTATCTTGGAAGCTGTACCCAGAAAATGGTGGTTTTCGCTTTGGTGTTCCTTTAAATCCATGAAAAAGGGCTCCCTTAAAAGAAGATACGCTTGCGACAATTCCTTGGCGGCTCATGTCTCCCGCCTAAGTTGAGCGTCACAGCCGCGGTGCCTCGCAGACAGAGGCGCGCCCGACATGCTCTCATTGAACAGGCAATGAGTCAAGAAACTAATCAATGTTCACAGCCCAACTGGAGGCAACCATTGAGTTGGATGATTTCTCCAAGAGACGTCACCTAAACTGTCTCAATTCCAGGCTGAACAGCCTGGTGGCGAATCACGGAAGCATGTTCATGCCAGAGGAACTCGACACGAAGCTGTCCCCGACTTGCCAATCACAAAACCAAGAAGAAGGCCGCGGAAACCAAACGCATCTGACACAAAAAGTGGTCTGTGCTGCCCATACAGCAGTGCTGCCCCCAAGCGAGCAGCAGGACCACCTGAAAGATATCAAAAGACAGCTTGCTTACTTGAACAAGCGCGGGGCATCCATCTTACTTGACCAACAACTTCACTTAAATGACCATGGCGTTTGAATCCCTCCGATTCCATACAAACACCATGCAACTCGTGCTTGTCCTGATTCAAGACTGCGATGCTTACTTGGGTTCTCAGGGTCTTGGCTTTCTTGCATTTGCTGAATATGGGAAAAATCAAACATACTTCCAGTGATAGATTCCCTTTAAAACCAACAGGAGAAAAACACCTATTCCTTTCAGCAAATGGAAGCTGCTCTTTGGGGCGCAGCCTAAAGGTTCAGCACAAACTACATGTCGCTCTCGGCACGTGCTCGATGTATTCCGCCTTCCTCGCGGATTTTCATGTTTGAACCCACTCCTCTGCTCAAACAGGCTGGGTATGCTGTTGGGGGGACTTCTTGGTGGGCATCTTTTGCGTGGGGACTGATTCATGTTCAGAAACTATTTGGGAGACTTCCCCAAAAAAGCACAGCGAACTGCTCTGAAAGGCAAGTTGTGTATCTTGCTGCAAGCCACCCGCGCCTTAACGGGACTCTACGGCACAAAGTGGTAGAAACCTGGGCCGGCTCAAATACTGAGATAACACGCCGAACCGGACAGCAAAGTCAAGCACAAAAGTCATGGCGTGTGCCAAAGGGTGAAGGCCAGTGAAGGCCTTTTGGTCTCATTTTGCCATCACCTTGGTTTGGAGGGGTTGGATAAAAAAGCGCAGGAACGCGAGCCATGACTTTCTTCCCATTCTTTGCTATGTGCCTGCATTTCTCTTCTGGTTTGAGGCCACCCAGTCTGCCATGTGCCTCAAGAACCTAGAGGTCCTGAGCAAATCTGGTCGAGCCCATGGAACCCATCCGAGGTATGCCGAAACTTGGAGGTTCTGAAATCGAATTATCGCAAATGGATGTTTTGAAAGGAATGTTCCGAACGCTCTTTTTGTTGCTGCCCCCTCCCTTTGTGATGGTCCGCCCGACGAGATCGCCTCGAATCTACCGGGCACTGCAATCTGCAAGGCCCAAAGCAAGTAGAATAGAGTTGCGGGCTGCTGTTCAACTATATAAAAAAGAGTATTGTATTGCCATTGCAGCACAGAGACCAGCATCTGTTTGTAAACAACATGGCCCCTGTTACACAGGAATTCACGCTTTCAGCGGGCATCTTCTGAGTGCACGGCTACCGTAGTAGCGCCATGGCGTGACTTTCGAGCCAGATTTGCCGATGGCACGCGCGTGACTTCTTCTGCACCAAGACCACCCCGGCTGAAAGTCACCGCCAAGAAACTTGCTTGGGCTAATGCTACGAATCATGTAGGAAGAGGAAACAGCTATATAGGATATAATGGATATTGCGGTTTTGGGCGAACACGAAGTAGCCCAGGGAATCAAAGAGGTACACGTGGTTCACGAAGTACCAAAAGAACCCAGTCCCAAAGCACAATGTAGAGGGTGCCGGTGACCAGATTGTGGGAGTGACAGTTAATGAAGATCAAGTTTGGGGAGGTTAGGAAACTGGTAGAAGAAGGTAAAGACAAGGGTCGGGCCCGGGAGCACCTCGGCGACCTGCCGCCCACCTCCTAGTGCCGAACAGCTGGAACACCACGGACCTTTTCCGCGATGGCGCAGCCAATCGCCGCACTATGGCGAACGCACGCAAATCCAAGGAAGTCCCGACGGGGGATCCAAATCTTGAGCCAAACGGCCATTCGGCCGTTTTGCCACATGATGAAACAACACGTGAACAAAACACACCCCCCTCATCCGATATCTGGACGAGAGAAAGGATGCGAGACAGTTGAGTTCACGACGAAAGGGACCAACCAAAAATGCCGGTGTCAACTCAGAGGTGAGCCAAACGGCATCACCTGGGCCCCAGTTAAAATCCCGCCACCACCCCGAATTATCGGGGCGACAGGATTATTTGACGAGTGGACCACATGAGTGAACAAAGACATATTGGAGGAACCAGACGAAGATTCCTCTCGTGCCGTTCATGAGTTGTCATGGGACGATGCCATGCGGAGGGGGATCCTATCTGGATCACCGCGCCTCACTGCACGCCGTGGAACGGTTGGAAGAGGAGTCGAGTTGGGAGGAAAGTAGAAATGGAAGCTCCGAAATTGGTGTGAAAATATCCGGCTATGGCCGGTCCGGCACTTCTAGTGCGGTCACAGCCTCACACAGGATCGCCAGGGGAACCATCTCCGGCGCGCACGGCAGCGGTGCGGGAGGGACACGAGCAACGCCGGATCAGCGGTACAGGGCAATGGAGATCATCACCCCCAGCAGCGCTGCACGGACGAGAGGAGGACCGGCGCGGTCGCGTTTGTCGGCGACACACGTACTATCCTCGCCCTTCTAAGGCGGATGCTGATTGCGGCACCCGTCTACCACCCTGAACCAGGCTCTTCCCGGTCCCTGGGCGCGTCGTCTCTTCGGCGTCCACCACGGTCACCTCGATCACCTCCTCCATCCCGACGGCGATCCTCACCACCACCCCTATTGTGGTCGCCAGCCGGAGGTCGGCGAGGCGGAGGGGGATCTGATTGGTGACGTCGGTCATCCCTGCGCCGGTCCCGGTGGCGATCGCGACGGTCATCGCCCGGGTCATCACGTCCGCGGCGCTCATCTCGCCCCGGGCCGCGCCTCTCGGAGGTCTCCTCATGACGTGGAGGAGGTCGGCGATCATCGCGTCGGCCTCCGCGGGTGTCCCTGCCACGATCATCCCTTTGTCGGGGCGGGCCGGGATCCTCACGTCCTCCTTTGCCAGGTCGATGTTTTCCTCGACCCTTCCCCTCACCCTTAGGACCACGACGATCCTCGCGGGCCCCAAGCGCGGTCCTTGACCGATCGTCATCTCGTCGGGGCCGCGACTCATCTGCCGCACGAGTGGTCCGAGGCACACCCGGGGGAAGCTCCCACTCGTCGTTGTCGTCATCACGCGGGTCATAGCCGCGATGGCCGCCCAAGGAACCGGTGGCATCCCGTGGTGGGGACGCAGGAGTTCCGGGACCGCCCGATCGAAGACGAACTCGGGGAGTCGCGTCCTCGCCGGTAAAAGGATCCTTCTGGGTGTAGAAACCCTTAGTCCTGCCCCTTCTCTCCCCACCTTCCACACCGCTTCTCGCGGGGACCGGGGATGGGCGGGCAGGCTGGGCCATGCTCTTAGAGCTGGGTTGCCCGCTAGGCGGGACCTGAACGCCCCCCTGCCCTTTTTCGGGCGCGGGGACCCGACCGCGAGATGTCCTTCTGGCCTTGGGTTGGTCGGACTCACCCTCCAGCTCGGACTCGGTGTCAGGGACACGAGTATTGATGGCCATGTCCTCTTCCTCAAACGGATCCCCAGTCGTAGTAACGCCTGCCGCAATGGGAGCGGGAGGAGGAGGAGGAGGAGTTGGCACAGCATCGCCAGAAATGACGCCTGCATGCGGCACCACGGGAGTCTCCGGTTCTACCGGGACAGGCGGCGCAGGAGGAGCCGGGGGCGGTGGCGGAGGGGGAGGGATCTCCTCCTCGTCGTCGCCCATGGGCTCGTCAAGGTCGTCAGGCTTCTCGTCATCTTCGTGCGAAGAACCATCCGATCCCAGCTCATCCTCCGCTGATCCAGCAAAGTCGGGCTCGTCTTCGTCCTTCACGCCGGGGCCTGGTGTAAGGCGAATTCCGGGTCGATGGCGATCGCGGGGTCGGAAGCGGTATTTCCTTGGTACAGGGTCGGATAGCTCCTGTTTGATGTCATCCTGGGTTTGAGGACGGTCGGCCAAGCAGGTGTCGTAGGCAACGGTGGACGTCCGGTAGATCAGATCGTCCATACTGCTGAGGTCGTTGAGGGTGTAGACATACCCCTTCTTAATGCCTTCCCGTATCGTGTCCATAGCCCGTTTGAGGCGCGCGGCAGGATCGAACCGGCCTTTCTCCGCATGGCCTGCAATATCCCGCAGTGCTGTGCGAGCAGCCCCACCTGGAACTTGAATCCCTCCCCGGACACATCGTTGGGGAGTATCGGAGAAAGGTGTCCTGTTCTCAGCCCAATGATATGGGCCTCAAGAATGTAGTAGGAC